GGCCGCACCCCCTAGCGGCAGAAGCTCGTACTACATCCGGTTCGCCCTCTATTGACACAGTCTTGAAACTTTCCGATCGCACCTCGTATATTACAATATTTCACAATTCTCGGTTTCCTGACATGATTTCGTTAGTCGTTGGACGTGGCAATGACGGCTAATTATTTTCAGAATGCAATCAGTACACTGACAAAAAAATCTTATCCGATCGGAACACAAGCTTACGCGTTCGAACGCACTAAGCACGGCGACCTACCGATTCATGTGGTTCTCCCACACAACATATTACTCGTAGTTAACATTGTCGTTTTCAGGTTATGGGACCTTCATTCATTCCTGCGAAGTCAGATCCATGGGTGTCCAAAACTTAAAAGATTTTCCGTAATGCTGTTCACAAGGGAGAAACACGTTCCTAAATTAGTAAGGCAGATTGCTGGACCTGTGTGTCAATTAAATTCTGTATACGTTCTTCAGTATTTCTCAAGTGGTATCTACAGAAATTCTAAAGGCAATTCAATACTGGCGATGTGTTTGGAACAGTGGAATTGCTGTAACAGTTCTTTGAACGATGGTGAAAGCATTTACTTTTCGCGGCCTAAGGCTTTTGCCTTCCAGTAACACTGCTGTCAAAGGATTTAACTAAACTGAAGTAGATATTTCAATAACTCGAATCTTAAGTAGTTCCCTTCTTTGAGCTCCCAAAGCAGGTCTGACAGAAAAAGGCAAGGCTTTGAAAATCCATTCAGTGGTTCGGGGACTTCTCACTTCAAACTGATATTAGAATAAATTAAGATTTGAGACTTGAGACTTTCACGGCGAGTACAATCAATAAAATCTTCTCGGGCAATCAGCCGCGTCAACTGATTACCGTAGTTAACCGACGTTTCGGGAACCAACTCTGTCCCCCATCATCAGGATTCTGATGTGACTGCAGTCCGCCTTTTCAGCGCCGTTGCATCTCCGTTGTCGGCTTCGCCCAGTTGCCTTCCGCTGTCTCCGGTGTCGTCGTGTAATTCTCTTCTTTTTGTGGCAATCCAAATCCTACCTCA